CCCTCGTGTAGCTTTGCGCGAAACTCAAAAACAAACAAAACAAACAATCTTGTTAACCTGATGTCGAAGGTCGTAAGCAGGTACCAATCCTTTTACTCGAGTAAATCATGAAATTCATACTACTTTGGCCCTGTGTCTGTCCCCACCACTTCTCGAGGGGTGGTGCATTAATCACACAAATTGATATTAGTTTGGGGTTTTTACTCTCCTTTAAATAATATTTTGAATGGTCGGTAACGTATACAGCCTTGTATTCTTGTATACTGCATTTAAATATTTTTGTTTGAATCTGGACAGTAAGTTTGAATTCGTCCTGTCTTTATTCATTGTGGGCATAAAAGCCTCTCACCCTATTAGCCTATAAGAGGAAAACTGTAAGTTCAAAGAAGTACACAATTACTGTGAATAAATGCTTTGTTTAGTTGTGTTTGTTTTTCCTTTATTGTATGAGTTCAAAATTATTCTATGGATCTGGATCTGCGTTTAATTCTAAACTTATCTATTGGAAGTAAATATATCGGAATACCATAAACATGTAAAAACAGGGTTTGGTAATAGTTTCATTTCTAACACGTATTCTGAAACTAACAATAATCAAATTGTTTTCAATTGTATTTGTAATATTTTCTTTATTACCAACTGTTTAGTAAATTTTGTCCCACCACGTATAACGTCAAAAGATGTTTAAAGTAAAATATGAAAAATGTGTATGGGTGTAGAAAGGTAATGACATTCTGAACTCTTTCAAATGCCAAAAGACAAACTCTTCTTATGGATAGCCTGTACTGGTGTTATTTTGTTAAACGTGGAATTAGGCCCGGCATGGCAAGGTGGTTAGGGTGCTCGACTCGCAATCTGCGAGTTCGAATCTCCGTCCCATCAAATATGCTCAGTACAATTTACAATAACAATTATTACAAACAGTGATTTATAAACAGAACTTTCACAAACTTACAAACAATATAAAGTTTTCTTTCTAGTCTGGAAACTCCTTAATATCTTAAAGAGAGTTCAAGATGAGCGAGTTAATTACGAGTTGGTGTAGGTACGATCCGCTGAGCAGCTAGCTAGCTTTGCCCTTGGCCACACACACTAGGTTTTCCGACGATGAATTTATATGTCTTCGTAAAAATATTAATGTCCGATGAAAATCCACTGAAACTAAATGAGTTGTAATGTTCGAATTTTGTAAATGCTCATGGTCAAATATCTTAAGTTTTCCGATTGATAAGCGTTATAACAATCACATTTATAGCTTTAGAAGTTTTATATCACACCGATATATAGTGGACTAATAATAGACACTCTTTTGGCGCGTCGCGTTGGTTGTATTTGTACCTGTGTGGATGCGTTCTAGAAGTTTCATTCTTACCTAACAGTGCAAGTTACATTTTAAACGTTTACGTATATACATATATTGTTGATTCTTAC